TGTCAGGACCCTGTTGGGGGTGCTATCTCCTATGGGGAGCACTCTGTCATGGACAAAATACATAAATAAACTTTATTTTATTTCACTCTGTCGAGGGCAAAATAAACAAACTGTAAAAATTATTTTTTAAAAAATTACTGAGTCTGTCTGAGTCTCGCAGATGGCGTGGTGGTTGAGGCGCTGGGCTCCCACACGGTCTACCACGGTTTGAGTCCTAGACATGGCAGCTTGTGCATGTGTGCCCAAACTCCTGAGGAGAGAACGGAGGAGAAAGGACTGTGGCACGGCCATGCCCCTGGAAGTCGGGGGTGGTATCTCATTTTCCCTCCCTGTCTCTTTGTAACAAATGCATGTGCCCTATGGCAACAACCTAGAATAAATGCCTGCATTGGTCCTGCCCAGACCATTCAAGTGAGAACCTCTGGGGCCAGCGGCGCAGGGTGGGTATATGCTCCAGAAGTTCCCGGGTGGTTCTCATGGGCAGTCAGGGCTGGGAATCGCTCACTTCAAGTCCCTCCCCTTCTGACTGTGTTGCATAACTACCGTGTGCTGGCCCCTGGGACACAGTGAAAGGCAACACAGACCCAGCCCACCCTCACGGGGCTCACAGTCAGGTGACCCTGTGTCTAGCCCTGTCCCTGCCTGATGACCCGGAGCTCTTGGACCTTTCCTGCTTCTCCCAGGCCTGGGTCCTGTCAGATGAGGCTCCAGGCTCCAGTGACCTCCAGTCCCCACCACCTGTCCTCCAGCCAGCTGTTTGTTGGCCTATGCATACTTGTTTTCTTTTCTGGAAATTACTTTCCATTGTTGTAAAACACATGTGACAAAAAATTTACCACTCTAACTTTTTATGTGTTTTAATTAATTTTTTAAAGAGCTTTTTGCTATAGGGCACATGCACTCACCAGAGACACAGAAAAAGTGAGAAATCACTGCCCAGGGGGGATGGCCACACGACAGTCCCTTTGCCATTCTCCTCTTAGGATTTTTGGCATGCACACATATGCACCCAACATGAGTTTCAAGCTGCTGGGTCTGGGACTCGAACTGAGGTCAGCCATGTGAGAGTCCGGCACCATAACCACTACACCACCAGCTGGCCACTCCTTCTAACTTTGTGTTTTTTTTTTTTTGTTTTTTTTTTTGTTTTTTTGAGAGAGAATTTTGCTGTAAGGGCATGTGTGTTTACCAGAGACACAAAGAGAAACAGAAAGACAAAAAGCGAGAAATCACCCCCCAGGGGGGATGGCCATGCCACAGTTCCCTCTCCTCCATTCTCCTCTCAGGATTTTGGGCACTCACACACATGTGCCTGGTGTGAGTTTTATGCCGCTGGGTCTGGGACTCGAACTGCAGTCGACTACATGGGAGTCCAGTGACGTAACCATTACGCCATCTGTTGGGCCCTCTAACTATTCTTAAATGTTCAGTTCAGTGGCATTAAGTACATTCCCACCCTACATCTCCAGAACTCCTGCATTCTCTCCATACTGAAGCTCTGTACCCGTGAAACAATAGCTCCCCACCCCTGCAGCCTCTTTGACTGTTCCACTTACTTTCTCTATAAACGTGACTACTCTAGCTACTTGATAGAGTGATATTTGTCTTTTAGTTAATGGCTTATTTTACTTCATATAATGTCCTCAAGGTTCAGCCGTGATGTAGCATGTGACAAAATTTCCATCCTTTCATCCTTTTTTTTTTTTCTGAGAGAAGAGATTTTTTACTATAGGGCATATGTACTTGCCAGAGAGACAGAAAGCGAGAAATCACCCCCAGGGGGGATGGCCACGCTGCAATCCTTTCTCCTTCATTCTCCCCTTGGGATTTTGGGCACACGCACCAGGCGTGAATTTTAAGCCACCAGTTCTGGGACTTGAATTGCGGTCAACTACATTGGAGTCCATTATGCCATCTGCTGGTCCCAAATTTCCTTCCTTTTTAAGACTCAGTTATAGCACATTTTGTTTATCCATTCATCCATTGATAGACACTTGGGAGTTTCCACCTTTGGGCCATTGCAAATCATGCTGCTGTGAACACGAGTATAGGTCTCCTCAAGACCTTGCTTTTGATTCTTTGGGGCTATGCTCAGAAGTGAAATTGCTGGATGACAGGATAGTTCTGTGTTTAATATATTGAGGAACTGCCACATTGTTTTCCATAGTGGCTGTGTGTTTTACATTCCCACAACAGTACACAAGGGTTCCAATTTGTCTGCATTTTCACCAGTACTTGTTTTCTGTTTTTGTTGCTGTTTTTAAAACTTATTTCAATTTATTCTTATTATCTTCTAATTTGACCAGAGAGAGAGACAGAGAGAGAGAGGAAATATGAGAAAGCAAGCTCCCAGTTCCGGCACTCAAACCATAGTCAGCCATGTGGGTCTAGCACCTTAACTACCATGCCACCTGCTGGCCCCATTGCTGTTGTTTTTCAAACCAGGGTTTTGCTTTCATGAGGCTCCTCCCTTAACCTTCCAGATGGGACTGCAGACATGTGCCGCTGAGCTGGGCTGTGTTGCCCAGGCCAGCCTTGAGTCTGTGACCCTCCTGCCTCAGCCTCTCTGCGACACTGGGATGGCAGGTGCATGTCACTGCACCTGAACTTGAGGTTGGACTGGGAATCGAACTCGAGCTCCTACGTAGTCCCGGCCTGTAGAGCACAGCACCCTGGCAGCATGTTTTCGATAGTAACCGTCCTCATGGATGTGAGGTGTGGTTTGATTTGCACTCCCCATTTGCTCACTCATGGTAAGCGTCTTTGTACGTGCTCACTGCCATTAGTATATTTCTTTGGAGAAATGTCCGTTCAGATCGTTTCCCCATTTTTTAAATTGGGTAGCGTGGGTTTTTGTTGTCGTTGAGTTATAGGCGTTCTTTATATATTCTGGATATTGGCCCTTATTACACATATGACTTGCAAATTCTATCTTGCATTCTCCAGGTTGCATTTTCACAATGTTGATCGTATCCTTGGATGCACAGGCTTTTTTTTTGTTTGTTTTTTAAAGGTTTTTGCCATGAGGCGTGTGCACTCACCACAGAGAAAAAGAGAGAGAGAGAGAAAGTAGAACTCACCGCCCTGGAGGGGTGGCCACACCACAATACCTTCTCTCCTGTTTTCCTCCTGGGGTTTTGGGCATCATGCACATGCACCAGGTCTGACACTCGAAATGCAGCCAGCCATGCGGGAGGCCAGCACCCCGGCCACTGCGCTACCTGCCAGCCCCAAGATGCACGGGAGTTTTACATTTTAATGGAGTCCTTAAAAAAAAGTTGTTTTGCTTATAGGGTGTGTGTGTTCACCAGAGAGACAGAGAGACAGCAAGTGAGAAATCACCACCCCAGGGGGGATGGCCACACTGCAATTCCTTGGGATTTGGGGCACGCATGCACACATGCTTAGCGAGAGTTTCAAGTTGGAGGGTCCAGGACTCGAACCATGGTCGGCCATGTGGGAGTCTAGCGATATAACCATTACGCCATCTGCTGGTCCCTACATTTTTTCTGTTACCTGTGCTTTTGATGTCATACCCATGAAATCGTCGCCAGATTCAATTCAGGAAGATTGCCCCCTGTGTTTTCTTCTAGGAGTTTATAGCTTTAGCTCTTATACTTATGTCTTTGATCCATTTAGAGTTCATTTTTGTAAGGGTAGGGCTAAACTTTATTTTCTCCCAGTTTTCCCAGCACTGTTAAAAAAAACTGCCCTCCCCCACTGGTCAAGGGTCATTTTATGGATGAAATAAACAATCTCCACAGAGCACTTGACACTGTGCCTACAGCGGCTTGTCAACTGATGGTCCCTTCTCCTTACTTTTTATCCAAGGTGTAATTTCAAACTACCATAGCTGATGTTTAAAATTACTTATTTAATTTTTTATTTTGAAAATCAAATACCTATGTGGTGTTGGGAACCAGCAGTTAGCGTAATGGCTATGTCGCTGGACTCCCACGTAGTCGACTGC